AAGAAAAACTGAAGTAGGGAAGTGGGCTGGAGTCACAGGGCCTCTGTGCTCCGGATCTGGAAAAAGATGGTAGCAAATCTGGACCCCAGGAGAGTAAGAAGTATTGAAATGCTCCACACTAGATAGGGCACAGAGCCATGCTCTCTGCTGGGAACAAAGATTCTTCCTGTTTGTAAAAAAGGTATATAAGGAGGCTTGGGGATACAGGGAACACACATTCAGCTTTAGTATCAAGGACCAGGCTTCATTACCCTGTGACTCAGGGAATGAATTTGTGATAGCCAATACATCATCTGCAATATCAAGAACCCCAAAATAATGTTATATGCCCTGGTTCTAGACTAGGGTTGTGGTGAACTGAAAGGAAACAATGGCCAAACTCCTCAATAGCAAGGAGTAAGCAAGAATTGGGGCAATGAGAAAACATAAAATTGGCTTAAGGCCTATATTTTAAAACACACAAAGAAATCCATGCTAAAAAAGATAGATATCAAAATAACAACTATAATATTTCAGATTATATTTTATATAACAATCTAACAAAAATTTACAGTATATTATGATGTTCAAAGTGATAAATGTAAAAATTACATCCATTAAAGAAGATCAAGAAATAATGAAACAAAAATTGACAGAAATAAAACAAAAACATATAGAATAAATATAAATAGATAAAAAAAATTTTAAATGAAAAATAAAATCATTTAAATTAATTTAATACTTTGGTTAAGCTAGGCAAAATTAACTTAATTATTTAACTGATCTTAATAAAAATATTCAAAATAAATAAAATCTTCTGAACATAAAAGAAATAAAGTTAACTAATTGAAAAACTTCAGTAGACAGGGTAAATTCTATACTCATAACTGCTAAACAGAGTTAGTAAATTGAAAGATAATACTGTGCAATTGCCCCATAATTTAACACAGTGAGAGAATTCACAGGTGTGGAGGTGGGAGAGGCTCTAATTAAGGAGGTTAAGAGTTTGAGAAAAAGAGAATGGAGGGAATCATGGTCACAATATATGTAGAGATGACTATGAGAATTTCCAAGACTTGAAGAATGACATGAATCCGCAGAGTGACAAAGTACTCCAAGGACATAGTAGGGTAATTCAAAAATAAGAGCACAACTAGATATGTGAGGGTGAAACTGCAGATTATCAAGGATAAATAAGTGTAGAAGGTGCCAAAGAAAAAAATCTTGGTATCTACAATGGAATAGCTATTACATTGACAGAAGTGTTTACTCTTCCACAATAATTGGTGCAAGAAGATAATAGAGCAATATCTTCCAAGTACTGAGGGGAAATCTGTCTACCTAGAATTTTATACCTTGATAAGCTACATCAAGAGTAAAGAAATTTTCTAGTGTAAAAAGCCTAGATGAACTTGACATCCATACTCTAACTTAAATAATTATTAAATGTTGTGTTTCAGCACGAAGAAAGGTGGATCTAGAGGGAAGGCAAGGGACACAATTTTAAAAAGTGACAATGGAAATGTTGTATATGACAAAGTTTACAATACAAATTAGCACAGGAAAACGGAAAAGAATCCATGAAACAGGCAAAAGAACCAAATAATTCTAAGAAAAGGAGAGCTGAGTGACCCATAAACATATGAAAAGATAATCAACCTCCGTCAGGAACAGCCAATTAAAAGAGACAAAATTGCACACATCTCACAGTAGCAAAGGTTAAAAAGGCTGATACAATCAAGTGTTGGAAAAGAACATGGAGAAAGAGGAACTATCATATGCTGTTGCTAGATATGTAAATTGACATAAAGTTAGAACACATTTTGACAACATCTCATACAGTTGAGGATGTGCATACTCTATTATCCAGGATTTCCAACCTAAGGGAACATGTCCCAGAACTTTTATTGCAGAATTATTTGCAAAAGTGAATGATTGAAAACAACTCGCCAACAGCAAAAAAGGAAAACAGATAAATTGTACAGTTGGTAGAGTTATAAAATGGACACTAAAAGGAAATTTCTAGAGATAATTGCGTCAAGATGGATTAATCTCCAAAGTAATGTTAGGTGATAAAATTAAGCACAGAATGATACATATAATATGAAACCATTAGCATAATATTTTGAAACATGTGAAATAACATTCCATATGGCTGTTGGACACATACAAAGATAAAAGGAAAAAGTATACATGGGAAGATAAACGCCAATTTCAGAGTAATAATTTACCTCTGGCCAAGGCAGAAGGCAAACAAAACCTGGGTAAGTTATAGGGGAGTTTCAACTATATCTTGTAACACTTAATATTTTGAAAAATAAAAAGATCTGAGGACTTGGGGCTGGCCCGGTGGTGTAGCGATTAAGTTTGCTCACTCTGCTTTGTCGGCCCGGGGTTTTCAGGTTCAGATCCAGAGCGTGGACCTATGCACCGCTTATTAAGCCATGCTGTGGCAGGTGTCCCATGTAAAAAGTAGAGAAAGATGAGCATGGATGTTAGCTCAGGTCCAACCTTCCTCAAAAAAAACAAAAAAAAAAGAAAGTAAGTAAAAAAGACCTTAGGACAAAAAAGTAATACACAAAGATAATAAATGATTCACATTTTCTAACAACTCCTTTTCTCTGTCCAGTCCAGCCTGCTTCCTAAGACAAGAAAAGGGAGAGTAATGGGCATACTGACAGAGAAAGGAGTAATGAATTGGATCAAGATTTCACCTTGTCATCATTGAAAAACACATGAGTAGTAACAGCTCTGGTTTATGGCCTATCAGTTAATTTCTAAAAATAAAAATAATGAGAGAAGTAGCTGGAGGGATAGTAAAATATTTCTAGAGAGTGCATTTGAGTTCTATTGCAAACAATAATTCTTGGATTAAATATGCCTCAGTAATGTCTGGGCTTGGACTTTAGAATTTACAGCTAACCTGGGTCGCTTATGTTGAAGCTGAAGGAAATATAGGAAGCAAACATGTAAGCTGGCATTTAAAAAATTCTTTTAGTTTAAAATTTAAGCAGCTTGCAGCAGTCAAAAGAAATCACGAAACAAAATATCTGTGCTGTAATCCTCGCATATCTCTTGAATTTCAAATCTGACTGTGTCTTTGATGTGCAGACTTCAGGTCTCTGCGTGAAAGACTGAGTGGACCGCTAACTTCTCTTTTCAGTAGACAGAACCCTGGTGAGCATGGGAAACTGGACTGGGGCAGTGGAAGAATTACGCTCTGTGGCTGCTTTTTGCTATTACCTTTCATTTCGGTTCGTATAGATCCAGAGTCAATAGCTGGATCTGGTAGACTCTCTGGGTTAGTAATTAGACTGGGTTGAAAGGAAGACCTTAAAATGGTTCAAAACTTCTTTAGGATTAATCAAGGAGAAATACTCAGTCTTCAGGAGTTTGTTTACACGACAGTTAAGTGAGTTCACTCTCTAAACATTACCTTTAAGTAGGAAGACCGAGGATGGAGACAAAGGTAAAACAGAAACATTCTAACAGAGAATACAGCACACAGTCTACAGGGACGTGATCACAATTATGCAGCAACCTGAAGGCCTTCCTAACTTGTGCTAGAGGTTGGCTTGGTTTTTGAGAAAATTCCAGGAAAAAAATCAAAGCTTTAACATGTAGCTTCAATCCCTCCGGCATCTCTTCAATCAAAAGCAAAACTAGGTTAAGATCCTGAGGAGCAAAATGAAAGATATTTAGTTATAGATTGAGACAAAATAAGTATTCACTAATTATTTGTTGAATGAACTAAGTCAAATTTTGATTTCTTACATTATTTTTTTTTCTTTTATTTTGAGGAAGATTAGCCCTGAGCTAACTGCTGCCAATCCTCCTCCTTTTGCTGAGGAAGACTGGCCCTGAGCTAACATCCGTGCCCATCTTCCTCTACTTTATATGTGGGACACCTACCACAGCATGGCTTTTGCCCAAGCGGTGCCATGTCCGCACCCAGGATCCGAACCGGGGAACCCCGGGCTGCCGAGAAGCGGAACGTGCGAACCTAACCACTGCGTCACCCAGCTGGCCCCAGATTTCTTACATTATTAAAACTGAAATTTTAAAAGTGTGAAATTTAAACTGAGGATATTGCTTTCATTTAGACCATAGATGAGGTCCTAGAATCCTCTCAATTCTAAAACTTTGAATCAAAATAATTTTTTTCCTATAATACAATAATTGACTCCAAACCAAATATTTAAAAGATCTTTTTGAACAAAATTAATGCAAGTAAAACTTGTCCAATAGTCCCCTCAGAAGGATAGGAGAGCTCTGTCATTTCACAAGACTTTTGCTGGAGGGTGGAATATACAGGAAATGCAGATATATATCTATCGCAGTTTCTAAAAATGAGTATTTAAAGCATTTTGTGATGAATTAACAACTCAAGCAAAATAGAAATAAACATTTTTTTAAACTTCTATAGAAAGAGTAGTTTGATAAACACCATAGGCTAGAATTCTTACAACACGGGATGGTTTACAACCTTATACTTAGTGTAGAAAGATAAGTGCTAAATTCACAAAAAGGAAATAAATGATCACATAGTCAGAGCCACATGATCACAGTCAGAGCCAAAATGTATTTTCTGTTACTGGCCTGTTATTAATATCAAATTTTCTTGGCTTAAGAAAAAGAAAAGTGAATTAGGAATCTAGAGATATAGACTCTGCCACATACTTAACAAGTCATTTAAAATCTCTGAGTTATCATTATTTTCATCTGTTGAATGGCAATAGCAATATTTGCTCTTGCTCAATCTCAGTGTTGTTGCCAAAGGCAGCTGGAAAAGTGAACATGAAAGTTCTTTGAAAAGCAGAAATCACCATATAAAATGTACTTTATTAATTCCTGCTAAGAAGACATTCGACTCATGAATACGGAAGACTTTAGTGCATAACAGATAATAAAAATATGTGCGAAGTTCTGAGAGGTGTGACCCTTGGTGCTTCCAAATACTGATACTCACCTTTCTCCCTTTTCCCCCAATTCCCATTTCTCCATTTACCTCCCTTCTGCAGAACCTCTACCTGTAACCAGTGTTTCAATATATGACTATAAACCTTCTCCTGAAACAGGAGTCCTGTTTGAAATTCATTATCCAGAAAAATATAATGTTTTCACAAGAGTAAACATAAGCTATTGGGAAGGTAAAGACTTCCGGACAATGCTATATAAAGGTAAGAGGCAAAAGGAAGGATGCATAAATGATGGCTATTCCTTTTTACATGATTTTTGCCAATTAGTCTTCTCTCTTGCTTTAAAGAGGTCTTACGATTCACTATTAGACCATAAGTGAACCGTTAAAAATAGTTATTGATTCATGAAAACCTTGTTATGAGGAGTCTTAGAACATGGAACTTATTAGTTTAGTGTTATGTGTCATACATAAGCATAAGAAATACTCAGATTATTATGCCTTACATGTTATTCTTGCCAGAAGTAGTATGTCTGGTGCAGGAAATAAATTCAAACTTAAGTTTAGAAGCACCTCACCTAAGCTTTTCCTTTTGGGTGTGTTAGTGGGCATTTCTAGAACTGGGAAGCTAGAGAGATGCCTTTTGCCAAGTTTTGCTTTGGAGATGGTCCAAGATTATTCTCAAAGGCAAAGACAATGCTTTTTAGTTCCTTTGTATATATTTATCTGTATGATCAGCTAAATGAGGGCATTAATATGCAAAATTTGTTTTCACTGTTTTTACTGGCTTGATGGGGACACTGTGGGGAGGGGAGAGAGTCCAGGGGAATTAATAATTTCAAAAGAGCCGAGTCAACTTCTTTGAGTAGATTCTTTGGGGAATGGAAGCAGAAGAGGGGTGGAGAGGGAGAGGACGAGAACGAGAGGGCATTCATCTTCACTGGGAGTGAATCACAGGGGAGGAACTTATTCTCAAGCCAACATGCCAGGACATTTCTCTGCAGGGGGTGTAGAGGATGGTGTCAAAGTTGACTGGTTGTAACTGGAAACGTATTTTGGAGAGGTGGAGAATGGATACTTGAAGCACACACGGCATGGTATCCAGAAAAATGTCACTCGACTTGCTGCTTTTACAAACTCCTTTCTTCCATGGATTTTATTTTTATGAGACATTGTTTAAAACATAGGCAGTGAATTTTATTTTTTACTTTAAAGATAATAAACGTAAACATAGACTCCACTAATTATTGCATTCTTTATTTTTAATGAAAACATTACCTGCAAATTAATAAGTGGGACCTTATTTGCTAATTGATCACATGCAAATACAAGTTCATGAGTGATTGAAAAGCAATCACTGGAATCGTTGCTGAGTTAAAAGCCGTAAGTTTAAAACTAAATGAATTAATATGCTCTCTTTTTTAAGTCAATTTTTAAAATTATTTTTGGCTTTTTTTTTTTTTTTTGGTGTGGATGATTCACCCTGAGCTAACATCCGTTGCCAATCTTTCTCTTTTTTTTGCTTGAGGAAAATTAGCCCTGAGCTAACATCCGCACCAATCTTCCTCTATTTGGTATGCGGGATGCCTCCACAGTATGGCTGATAAGTGGAGTGGGTCCACACCCAAGATCTGAACCCTCGAGCCCGGGCTGCCGTAGTGGAACACCCAGCACTTTAACCCCTTGGCCATGGGGCTGGCCCCTATTTTGGGCTTTTAATTCAATGAGTGGTATTTGTCATTTCTTTCTAACTGGGATTGGATTGCTAAATTTATTATTTTCTCTAATGTTTTCTAAACGAAATCCAAATTTTTATTTTCTTCTTTTTTCGAACAGGACCTGGCTGCCAACTGGCAGATAAACAATTCTATTTTAAAAATAGGCTAATTTTTACAAGCGAGTCTAGTGAAAACATTTCTTGTAGAATTGCTTTCTCCTACGTCAGAAAGTGACAAAATACCTTGAGTTTTTATCTTCAAGTAAATGGCTACTGAAACTTAATCTCTACAGTTTCAAAAATGATCTTCTCTACTTAATACACCAAATGTTCCTGTAATAAAAATTTAACCCTAATTGCATCCAATTCTTGCCAAAAAAAGCCTTTCAGGATTTAGTCTTAAGATCCAAATTTTCACGTCTAGCCTCACGCCAATTTTTTTAGTACTGACCATGCCAGAAGTTGAAGAAAATACTATTTTATGGATATTTAATCATAATTATTTAGAACTTCCTAGAAGTGTGTGGCATTTAAAAGATCAAAATTTTAATATAATTGATTTTTCTCTTCTCAGACTTCTTTAAGGGAAAAACAGTATTTAATCACTGGCTTCCAGGAATATGTTACAGTAATATCACCTTTCAGCTGGTCTCTGAGGCAACTTTTAATAAAAGTACTCTCGTGGAGTACAGCGGTGTGAGTCATGAACCCAAACAGCATAGAACTGGTAAGTGTTCTGAAGAATCAAATTTAGTGAAAAAAGAATAAATTTGTATGTTGTCGTATATATACTCTTTATCATTCTAACAAACATTCTGTTCCAGAGCTGAGATAGATAAAAAGTATATATTTTTAATAATCTAAAATAAATTTTCTATCAATGTAAAAGGAACTGAGCAAAATATTCAATAATAAAAATCTAAAATCTTTCAGTGTAATCAAAGACCTATAATAGTTGAATGAAAAAGCATGATATTACTAAAAGTTATAATTAAATAACATAACTGGATCAAGTAGACACCAGTTATTCCATATGCCCATATAGCAGAAAAACAGATGGGTGATGTTCTAGTACAGATTATCAGATTATTAAAGGAAAATATTGGGATTCAGATGTATCTAAAACTTGCACTGCTTAATTTTAGTAGCATTACTAATATGAAGCATTATTTAGGATGGATGGATAGATGGATGGAACAATGGATGGGTAAAATAAATATACACCTGCTAAATATCCACCACCAATAATGATATGTATATATTGTAATTAGACACCAGTATAATTGTCTGTTCCTAATGTGTCTAGGTACTCAATAGGAATGCTGGAGAGCCCATTCACAGGAACATTGCGAATGGGTTATAATAGGTAACCCCTGAGATCCTTCCAATCTGAAATTCTAAGATGTCATGATTCTCATTACTTAGGCCAAGGCAAGGAAACTATGTAATTCACCTCATGTCAACATCGAAGATTCTATTTGTATTTTTCATTATTAAATTCAAATAAAGAAACATTAATAGAGCATCTTTTACCTGGGAGTTGTTCTAAGTACTGAGAGAGATGAAGACAAAGACTGGTGAGACAGGTTCCCTGTCCTCAAAAATGGTAGAGGTGCAGTCATGCGCCACTTAATGACAGGGATACATTCCGAGAAATGTGCCATTAGGCGATTTTGTCATAGTGTGAATGAACAGTGTACAGTGTGCTTATACAAACCTAGATGGTATAGCTAGCTACACCCCTGGGCTATATGCTACTAATCTTATGGGACCACCATCACATATGTGGTCCATCACTGACCAAAACGTCCTTATGTGGCACATGTCTGTACTATAAAATGGCAATAATATAAGGTAAAGTGCAATAAGTGTTATAAAAGAAATACAAAGTTCTATAACAGCACAAAAGAGGGAGAAATTAATTTTTATTAGAACTTCATGGAAAAGGTGATATGTGAGCTGCTGTTTGAAGGATTGGTGGAAACTGTTGCAGGTAGAGACAATGCAGTGTGCCTTCATAATTTTCTACCTCTAGAAAAGTATGCTTCCATAATTCATAAACTCATTTTGAGCTCATATGTTTCATTTTAGAGAAGTGAGAAGTGAAGCCATATTTCCAACATGTGTGTTAGTGTTTCTAAAGGCAACTCATATATGCAACTCTCCTAAACTATGTCACAGGGAGTATTTTATCTTGATAGCTATAAGTACACTATAGTTGCTTTTGTAAGAAAGATACTGTACAGAGACTCAGTTTTTAAAAACAGATACTGCGATAAGTTGAAGAATTTTTATGTAACTGCTTTGGAAGTGGTTAAATTACCACTTGGACTATCATAGTATCACAAATGAATATGTATTTATTTAAGTTAATAATATATTTTATTTACTAAATGTATCCAAAATATCATTTCAACATTTAACTAGTTTAAAAATTATAGAGATACTTTGCATTCTTTTTTTGGTAGAAGAATTCTAAATGCTTGAAATCTGGTGTGTATTTTATACTTATGGCACATCTCAAATCATCCAAGATTCAGCCAGTTGGAAGCTTCTTTTAGCTGGCTGCTGTATACTTGTGACATGCCCCATCTTTTTTTAGGTACTTCCTTACTTTCTGGCATTCAAGATGTTCCAAACTCATCTTGTACCTGTCCTGTTCCAACCCTGGAATCGGCCATTTCTCTCAGGAGCCCTGGTTCCTTTTAATTGAATAGTTTTAAAGACCAAGATATGGGTGCTAGGTGTGTGCATTGCTCCTGGGGTGCCTTTGCTAGGTGGTCAGAGCTAGAGAATGCAAGTACGTGTGTGTATGTGTATACAAACGCACATGTGCGTGTATATATTTCTACCTATACATATTTTTTGTAATTGTGAGTACACACCAGTACTTCCAATTCTAGTCTATTCCCAGAGTTCTTTCTTGCCTGACCCTATTCCATCTTTCTGCATTTCTTCTTTCACAATGAGATCCCTGGCATTCAGCAAGGTCAACCGAGACACTTACTTGCTCAATCCTATAATTCATCTAGTATAGTTTCCAAACTGCTTCTCTCATTTTTTTGTTTTTTTTTTAAATTTTTTTATTGCAGTAACATTGGATTACAACATTATACAGCTTTCAGATGTACATCGTAATATATTTCAAATTCTGTGTAGATTACATCATGTTCACCACCCAAAGACTAATTATAGTCCATCACCTCACATGTGAACCTAATCACCCCTTTTGCCCTCCTCCCTCTCCCCTTCTCCTATGGTAACCACCAATCTAGTCTCCATTGCTATGTGTTTGTTTGTCGTGTTTTTATCTTCTACTTATGAGTGAGATCATACAGTATTTGACTTTCTCCCTCTGACTTATTTCACTTTGCATAATACCCTCAAGGTCCATCCATGTTGTCACAAATGGCCAGATTTCATCATTTCTAGTGACTGAATAGTATTCCATTATGTATAAATACCACATCTTTATCCATTCGTTCCTTGATGGGCACCTAGCTTGCTTCCAAGTCTTAGCTATTATGTATAATGCTGCAATGAACATAGGGGTGCATGTGTCTTTATGCCTTTGTGTTTTCAAGTTCTTTGGATAAATACCCAGCAGTGGGATAGCTGGATCATATGGTAGATCTATTCTTTCTTTTCTTTTTTTTTTTTTTTTTTTGAGGAAGATTAGCCCTGAGCTAACTACTGCCAATCCTCCTCTTTTCATTGAGGAAGACTAGCCCTGAGCTAACATCCGTCCGTGCCCACCTTCCTCTTCTTTATATGTGGGACACCTACCACGGCATGGCTTTTGCCAAGTGGTGCCATGTCCACTCCTGGGATCCGAACCAGCGAACCCCGGGCTGCTGAGAAGCAGAACGTGAGAACTTAACTGCTGCGCCACCAGGCCAGCCCCTCTGTAGATCTAGTCTTAATTTTCTGAGGATACTCCATACTGCTTTCCATAGTGGCTGCACCAGTTTGCACTCCCACCAGCAGTGAACAAGGGTTCCCTCCTCTCCACATCCTCTCCAACACTTGTTGTTTCCTGTCTTGTTAATTATAGCCATTCTGACTGGAGTGAGGTGATCCCTCATTGTAGTTTTGATTTGCATTTCCCTGATAGCTAATGATGTTGAGGATTTTTTCATATGCCTGTTGGCCATCCAAATATCTTCTTTGGAGAAATCTCTGTTCAGATCCTTTGCCCATTTTTTAATTGGATTGTTGGGTTTTTTGTTGTTGAGCTGTATGAGTTCTTTGTATATTTTGGATATTAACCCCTTCTCTGATATATGGTTTGCAAATATCTTCTCCCAACTGTTAGGTTGTCTTTTCGTTTTGTTGATGGTTTCCTTTGCTGTGCAGAAGCTTTTTAGTTTTATGTAGTCCCATTTGTTCATTTTTTCTTTTGTTTCCCTTTCCCAGACAGACATGGTACTTGAAAATATGCTGCTAAGACCGATGTCAAAGAGCGTACTGCCTAGGTTTTCTTCTAGAAGTTTCATAGTTTTGGGTCTTACATTCAAGTCTTTAATCCATTTTGAGTTGATTTTTGTGCATGGTGTAAGGGAATGGTCTACTTTCATTCTTTTGCATGTGGCTGTCCAGTTTTCCCAACACCATTTATTGAAGAGACTCTCCTTTCTCCATCATATGCTCTTGGTTCCCTTGTCGAATATTAGCTGTCCATAAATGTGTGGGTTTATTTCTGGGGTCTTGATTCTGTTCCATTGATCTGTGTGTCTGTTTTGGTGCCACTACCATGCTGTTTTGGTTACTATGCTTTTAGTATATTTTGAAATCAGGGAGTGTGATACCTCCGGCTTTGTTCTTTTTTCTCAGGAATCCTTTGGTTATTCAGGGTCTTTTGTTGTTCTGTATAAATCTTAAGATTCTTTGTTCTATCGCTGTGAAATATGTTGTTGGAACTTTGATAGGGATTGAGTCGAAGTTAATATGTGTTTAAAGTGTGACTGGTGATATGCTAATGTGTACACATCATGCACAAAATCTAAACATCTGTGCACTACTTTAAACCACAATTGTTCTTGATGTATATTTCCTGTATAAAAGTAAAACTAAATTCTATTTTTTAAATCCGCTGGTGCATTTGACTCATGAATAGATTAAGTATTCACTATAACAGAGTTAAAAAGTTACTTGAAAATGAAAATTCTTTCTCTTACAGCCCCTTATCCACCTCGAAATATCTCAGTTCGTATTATAAACTTGAACAAAAACAACTGGGAAGAACAGAGTGGCAATTTCCCAGAGGAATCATTCATGAGGTCACAAGATACAGTGGGAAAAGACAAACTCTTCCACTTTACAGATGAAACTCCTGAAATCCCCTCTGGCAACATTTCCTCTGGTTGGCCTGACTTTAACAGCAGTGACTATGAAACTACATCCCAGCCATATTGGTGGGACAGTGCATCTGCAACTCCTGAAAGTGAAGATGAATTTGTCAGTGTGCTTCCCATGGAATACGAAAATAACAATACACTCAGCGAGACTGAGAAATCGACATCAGGCTCTTTCTCTTTTTTCCCTGTGCAAATGATATTGAGTTGGTTACCGCCAAAACCACCCACTGCCTTTGATGGGTTCCATATCCACATAGAAAGAGAAGGTAAAGCAATAGGAAATCGGAGGAAACAAGAAATGATGCAATCAAAGGAAAGGACACTGAAACATTTTACAGTTAAATTTGGACAGAAAGACTAATGGTAGACAGTTAATATCTAAAGAAAAATGATAAAGAAAGGGAAGAATTTAATTGAGTATCCAATGCTGTCCAAGACTAGAAAACAAAAATGAACAGATTGGATCATAAACTGCAGGATTGGGTGGATCATAAGTTGCAAGTACTGCCAACTGTAGACATTTCACTGCCCAATATGTCCCATACCCCAGGCCACTGAGGAAAACCTTATATTTGGAAAGATTTTGAAGTAAATGTCTAACCATCACAAATTACAAAATATCCTGGAGAAATTATTTTCTGTTTTCTCATATACAAATTTGTGAAGCATGTGGTGAAAGAGTCTTTCTGACAAAATGACTGCTTTCCCCAGAGAATCTTATTGCCCCTAGAATGTGCTCCTCTGGGGCCAGCACCACCCATATTTCCTTAAAGAGGTGATAGCAAAATAGAAAACACACAGAAACTGGTGTTTCCACGACAGCTACTCTATTAAATATTGTATTCATTTATCCAGCATCTGAGGGTCTTTATAGTTTAGCTCACCAATTTAGGAAAGCAGGGTCATGGCATTCAGTAAATTTGGATGATGAATCATGTCTGAATTGTTTGGTAGATTTCTGTATTTGCTGTTTGTTTTGTTTTTACAGTAACATACTTCATTTTATACTTTCCAGTCTAGCAGTTTGCAAAGGTTGTCAAATTGTCAACATTTGAAGTAAAAATGACAGTCTTATTTTCAGGGTAGGGCCTTAGGATCATGTAGTCTCATATAGGACAACTTATTTGCCTCTACTTTATTTAGTGGAATGAAATACAAAATCCATGGATTCTTCTTTATTGGGTGATACAGCAATAAACCATTCCCAAATATTATATAAAATTGAAATCCTTTGTCCTTTCCAATTCTTTGAGTCAAAAGCCTTAACATTTGCCTGGAATTACTTGTATTAAAAAAAAAGTTCCCTCAATCTGGCTTTTATTTTTCTGTTCCTCAATATATTCTATGGAAAAGAGGATCATGTAACTCAGGATTTTTTTAATGCCTATTTCCATGAAGTTTCAATCACGCTTTTATCTGACTGCAGTGTGTTCTGTTGAAGGCTTTTGTAGTCACCAACTGATGACAACAAGTTCAAATAAAGTAACAAGCAGCAGGAGATGGACTTTGAAGCAATGTAAAAATCACTTTTACTTTTAAAAGTTCTGAAAGCAAACAGATGAAGGAAAAATATTACGTGTGTCGGAAAATATATCCAGAAGAATTCTTTCTAATGAGAACTAATTTAACATATTTTAAGGCATTTCTGGAAATTTAATGCTACCACAAAGAACTTATAAGATATTTGTTGCTGGTTATTTATTTATTTTGCTGGTTATTTTTTATCCCTTATGTCCAGATGAGAAAGTCAACTATTGCTGTTTTCTCCTAATATTCTACTTCTATTTTGTGTATATGATTTTTGGGGTAAAAGGAGATAAGAATATGCAGTTTTGCTCATTCCTAGTTTTATTGATTTGAACACCATATTTTTGTTTGGTTATTTGAAAGTATTGTGAAAAACAATTTGAAGTCTTAGTCATCTTTCTCTTATAGTACCCTTAGTTTAGAAGTATAATTGAACTTGGAAAAAGGAAGGAGACAACATTTAAAAATACTTAATTTTTTGTATTAATTGACTTTTCTAAAGTCACAGCTCTTCCAGGTATCAATTCATATATATTCTGTTTTTTATATATGATTTAGAAAACTTTACTGAATATTTGACAGTGGATGAAGACGCACATGAATTTGTTGCAGAACTGAAGGAGCCTGGGAAATATAAGTTATCTGTGACAACCTTTAGTTCCTCAGGATCTTGTGAAACTCGAAAAAGTCAGTCGGCAAAATCACTCAGTTTTTATATCAGTAAGTACCAAAGAGATTATTTTGCACTTTACAGGGGAGCTAGAACAATGAATCTGGTGAGATTAATGATGCTCAGGCATCAATTATTCATCAAACCTTAGAGACCCTGAGAATTCTTCAAGGTCAGAAAAGACCTGAATCCATGAGATTTTGACAGCAGAGGAAATATATGTATGTTTAATAATAGCAAACCTACCCAGAGATTTAACTTAAGGATTTTTTTATTATTGAGATAATTGAAGATTTATTAACCTGTCCTTCTTAACTAGCCGTTACAATATCTCAAAGGACATGGACACACAGTTTGGCAAATATGGCTTTCGTTTCAGGCCATAATGAAAATTGACATTGTTAGACCGTGTGAAAACTCTCTTTAGAGTATTAAGCTTACAGAGCTCAAAAGAAAGACAAAGATTCAAGTGTCATAAGATCTAGGTGGTCACCATAAAGTTGATGCAAGAAGACAAAGCTAGAGCATCCTAAAAGCCCCAATATCAAGTCTTAGGGTGGCTACTACTGAGTCCAAAAGGGTTAATAGCAAAGCAATAGCTAGCCTCTAAAATCTGCACAAATAGTCCATGTCCATAATGTTTTTGGCTAATCGGACTATGTTTACCAGAAGTTTAGAGGCCAAAAATCAGTTACCTAGCTTATCAGGAGTTAAAGGTGCCTCTAATCAGCAGAAAGAAAAAACAGAAGGCAATGGATAAAAATTGTTCTCCGAAAAGGATGACTAGCATGCACTTTATCATCTTCTCCAGAGGCAAAATACCACCTTTCATCAAATAATCCTCAAAAAAGTGGGCAGGAGAAAGAGGAGGGGGACAGAGGGAGGAGATCAGTTTATTTAGCAGCTTAACAATGTTGAAAACACCCCAAATAACATTTTTGCTTAAGAAACCAAAAATGTCACCACGGGTAAAAGGCCTGAAAGATCCATTAGACATACAGAAAGAATATTCACAATTGCCTTACATGTCTTTCAAATATGGGAGATCTTTGACACGAGATCACTTGAGAACGAGAACAAAGTTGAGTATTCAGTTCTTCCCATGAGGCTAAAAATGTTTCACTAACCAAAAGATTTCCTTGTCTGCCAGTAGAGATCCAACACAAGTGTCAAGGGCTTCCAGGAAAACTGATCTGGCCATGCTGGCTCTTCCCCTCTCTGAATTTCTACTGTGTTTCATAGCGTACGACACAAAACACAGAGCTTATTTGTGTGTGACATTTTCTAGATTTATTTTATCTGTGTACATCTTGTTTCTCATACCAAATTATAAAATCCTAGCCTAGAGTTATACTATTTGCTTATTTGTTATTTCTGCTGTATATTCAACAAATATTTATTGAACCACTTTTGTGTGTCAGGCACTCAGCTCTATTCTTACAGTATCCAAATTGGCTAGTGCTATTGAGAATGCATCAAAATTGCTCAAAAATATGATTATTTTAAAGAGATGCATATTAATATTCATCTAGAAAAATACAGGGCACTAGAAATTTTGTTTTTTCTCTGCCAATAAAAGAACGATATTTTTAGCACTTAGGATATTCGGTTCTACAGTAATGAGTTATTCAGGTATACTGTGTATGTGCCTTTTGTTTAAAAAAGATACTACAGATATAAATACTATACTGAACCAGGTGTAAGGGAGCAACTAATTAGAGTGGTTTAACTTCCCTCAACATAATGTGGTCACACACCAGCTAAATTATATTTGCAGCCATTTTCCTGACCAAACTGTTGCAGACATTGTGGTGTTGAGCTATGATATTAAGATTTATTACATTACATTAAGATTTATGTTTATCATTGCATTATGATTTATATTTATGTAATTTTGAAGACTTTCCTAAGAAATGAGAATTAAGGTAGAAATTTACATTAGTCTTCCAACAGCCTTATGAAGGGAACGTTTCTATTATACCCATTCTTCAGGAGAACAAAACTGAGTCACAGAAAGTTTAGTGATTTCCCATAGTGTCAGAACGAGGATTAGAACCTAGGAATATTTGATAGCAATGTCCATTTCCATGTAGCCTGCAATGACCTATTCCTTGGGTTGATTATCAGCTGAATCCTAATGTAAAACCGTTAAATAAGTGAATTTGTTGGCTTCCTCCCACTTTCTCTCTCTGTGCACCCACTACCCCAGTATTCTTCATAACAGTAATAACACTTCACATTTAAAAAGTTCTCTAGCACACAGGATCTAATTAAACCCCAACGACAACCTTATGAAGCAGATCACTCAGATAGCATTGTGATAAGTCATCACAAAGCACTGACCCAGGAGACAGGAGATCTGAGCTAAGTCCCAAGTACTTAGAAGTTTGCCCTTGTACTTACAGGTTGTCACAAGCTCTGTGACATTGGGCAATTCATTCACGTCTCTGGGCCTCGGTTTCCTCATCAGTAAAATAAGGTATTGGATCATTAAAATCCTTTCCAATTTTAACATTCTGTGATCTGTTCATTTGACAGATGCAATGACTGAGATTCAGAGAAGTTGGATAATTTGTCCAAGCTTGTATCACTAATAATGAATGAAATTGAGTCTTGGGCCAACTTTCCTATCTCTAAACCAAAGCTTTTCACGGTTTCATAGCGCTCCAGGAAGTCTCATGCAGGGGTTAAGAGAAATTGATTTGGGAACTAGACTTCTGTGTGAGTCCCAGCTTTACTTACCCTACATCTGCCTCAGTTTCCTGATCCAAAAGTGAGATTAATACTAGTACTTATAGGCTTGTTATGAAAATTAGAGGATTAAAATATGTAAACACAGATAAACTTAAAACAGAGTCTAGTACGTAGTGGGTGCTGTATCTCTTTGCCATCATTATTATTATCATTTTTTATTCTTATTATTTCCTTTGCCTTATTTACCCTGAGCCCAAGCCTGCCCTCCCCAACCGAGCCACTTGCTCCTTTTCCTCTCCTGGGTTCCAGCCTAGGAATGCAGCTTTCTATTAAGGAACTGAGAAATGCATCCTAAGCAAATAAAAGGAAGTTGCACATTTGCATTTCAACAGGGGGTTTCTGTAGATAATAACCACCTTATCATTTCTTGGGTCCTTACTATGTGTCAGGCACTGTGCTAATAACCACTTTAGAAACCTAAGAGAACAAAGCTAATAGGGGGCACTTCTATGGAGATATTTAATAACGAGGAACCCACTGTGTCCCTCAAATTATCACCCAGGTTTTAGCCAGCTTCTATAATTGAGCCAGCCTGTTGCCTGTTTCTTCTCTAACGCTGTCACACCCTGCCTCTTTGATCCTGCTGACAACAAATTTAAAAATTTTTCACACGATTGTAGTAGAAGCTAATTTGAATCTCAAAGTAATTATTTCTAGAAACCAAAGATCCTCACAGCAAAGGAATTATAAACACTCATGAAATGCCACACTCACTCTTTGTTAAAAGAGAGGTAAATTCTCTCTGGCAAAGAATATACCAGAATAATCTCAGATGCACATAACAATTGATGGAGCTTCTGTCTCTCAGTAGAAATGATTTTCTTGCTGCCACTGCTGTTGTGTAGGTCACTGGTGAGTCATGCAGTGGAGACTGTAGCTAAGCAAAGGATGGAAAGTCCTGCCAGTCCCGCTACCAGTCTTAACCTTGAATATTGTTGTAAAGGCAAAAGGAAAACAAAATGACGTTAAGACAAGAATCTTTTGTCTCAACCAGCTCAGCGTGAAACCTCCCTTGTGCTCTGATTTGAAATGTTCAGGTCCTTCAGGAGAGTGGATTGAAGAACTGACTGAGAAGCCCCAGCACGTGAGTGTCCATGTTCTAAGCTCCACTACAGCCTTGATGTCCTGGACGTCTTCCCAAGAGAATTACAACGGCACCATCGTGTCTGTGGTGTCACTTACCTGCCAGAAACAAAAGGAGAGCCAGAGGCTAGAAAAGCAGTACTGCACTCAGGTAAAAGGAAGGAACCGCTGAGGGGCTCACTCACTCACCGCAGCACAGCCTTGCAGGCAATGCAAGGAAGCCAATGCAAGAAAGCGTGCTGAGGTCTCCCCAGGTGCATTGTGGGCCATGTTACCAAGAGCCAAGAGAGGAGCAAGGAAATGAATGCGCGAGGCTTCTGAGTTATAGTTCTCTTCCTTATCCCTCGTAGGACGGCCATCCTCCTTTTGTTTTGATTCCTTATTCAAGAGAATTTACTGAGCACCAACCATGTGCCAGGTACTAGGACAGATGTTGGGGATCTAGATAATTTTTATATGTCCTATTCTTGAAGAGCTTATAATCCAGCGAGAACGATGGATAGGTGAATATATAATTTACTGCAGAGTATAAACTAAGGCCTAGGTTCAAAGTAAATGATGGAGAGGCCATATCAGTTCGCAGAATGAGGACCCTGGGAATGAGTGAATATGGAATGGGGCGAGAGGATTTGGAAACTGGTCAGAAGAACTTCCCCAGGGGAAGGAGACAACCAAGCAGAAGGTTTTGGAGGTTTTTAATTTGTTTTGTTTTACTTTTTTTCATTCTTTTCACTATTTTAACTATAAAAGTAATATATGCTGACTGAAAATAATTCAAAAGTTAAAAGTACATAAAGTGAAAAACTCCCCCTCACTAATCACAAGTGAGAAAAGTTTTGAAGAACAAATACGAGTTAGCTGAGCCCAAGGGAAAGTGAGAGGCAAGTGGAGACGGTGTGCAAGTCAGTAGTTCCGGAAGTGGCTGCCGGGATCAATGCGCATGCCCCATCATCAGTCTTGAAGGGAACTGTGCAGCGAGGGCCCAAGAGCGAGCTTTTCTTGTGGATGCCATGAATGTCCATGGGAAGCCTGGGTCCCCTCCTATTTTTCTAAAATCTGGTTTTATTTTTTCAGAAGATCAAATGTATTGATTCTTGGTGTCTTACACACATAATGCTTTCTTCCCTTAAGGCAAAAAATTAAATTATTAGTGTGGAGTACACTGGAAATATGATACTCAAAAAAGAAGTTTGCTCTGTGAAAGCTGTTTGGGATGTTTCCATTCATCCCACGAAAATTAGGCATTTAGTGAAATTTAATAAGTGAGAAATTTTAAATTGATAAGATGAATTCAGGAATCGTGGCTTTTGGAGCACTAGAAAGCCTTAGAGTGCTGGATAAGCCCTTAGTTGCAGATGAATCTGCCCCTTGACTTGAATTAAATTAAGGAGTAAATATGCTAAACCTATTAGCTAGTAATCATGGCTCACTGTGCAGCTTATTAGCTTCCTTCCCTGAGAGTATCAAAGACGACTGACTCTTTACATGGATAAAAAAAATGTGTTTTTCTTACAGAACAGGACCTCAAACTTGACTGCTTCAAGGTACAATTCTTCCTTGCTCCATCTAGTGTACAAATTATGCATCTTTTGCATAGAAGCCAAAGGCTAAAGATATAGATGGATATTGTAAATTACAAACGAGCCAGAAAAGGCTGCTGCTCTAAGTGCACTCTGACAATGCCTTCTTGAAATGCACGCATGAAACTCTTAAGGATTGTAAGCAAGGAGGCCAATATTTAAAAGGGAGGGTGGGATCTAGATCACTGAGCTATTTATATTATTATCAATTAATATTATCAATCATCACGAGAATGTTTTGAAGAATGTGTTATTGTTACACCAACATCGTCCATTGCCCCACTACACACACCCCCACACAACTTTCCAGATGAAGAAACATCAATTCAAAAAGTCTCAAGGACTGGCCTAGAGTCATGTGGCCACTAACCAAAGGAATCCAGAATCCGGATGATGTTCTCACCAGAATCAGTCTGACTTGGACTTATTTCTTGAAGCAATAGTTATCCAGAAAGAAAAAAATAATAATATTTCTTTAGTTCTATATCCAGTGGTACGGTGATTACATTAAATAGAAAATTAAAAATGCAGCTCAGGGGCCGGCCTGGTGGCGCAGCAGTTAAGTGCACACATTCCGTTTCTCAGCAGCCCGGGATTCACTGGTTTGGATCCCGGGTGCAGACATGGCACAGCTTGGCAAAAAGCCATGCTGTGGTAGGCATCCCACATATAAAGTAGAGAAGATGGGCATGGATCTTAGCTTAGGGCCAGTCTTCCTCAGCAAAAAGAGGAGGATTGGCAGCAGTTAGCTCAGGGCTCATCTTCCTCACAAAAAAAAAAAAAATCCAGTTCAAAAATAAGTGGTTTTAGGGGCCAGTCTGGTGGTGTAGTGGTTGGTTTCACGTACTCCACTTCAGTGGCCTGGTTCCGATCCTGGACATGGACCAACACACTGCTCATCAAGCCATGCTGTGGCAGCATCCCACATACGAAGTGGAGGAAGATTAGCACAGAAGTTAGCTCAGCGATGATCTTCCTCAAGCAAAAAGAGGAAGATTGGCAACAGATGTTAACTCAGGGCCAATCTTGCTCACCAAAATAAAAAGAGTGGTTCTAAAGCCAAACACATTAACAATGAATATAATCTTTACTATTTTATAGTTTCCCTCTCCCTCTTTGCCTGTACCACTGACTATACACAGGATCTTTGCTTTATACATTACCTAGATCATCTGTGAGATTAGTGCTAGTGCCCCACTCCTCCCTACAACTCCACTGATCTCTGTGTGCTAGGTGGGTCCTGTGTGAGATGCTAGAAATAAAACAAATTTGACCTGAACCTTGATCTCATGAAGCTTAGAGTCTGGCCTTCCATCTAGGTACATTGTCCGCATTGGTTTGAATTTGTCCTCATCATGTGTATGTTCTTTATGTCTGGCTGTTGTTTTGTGTTATAAGTTTCCATGTAAATGTTCTTGGGAAAGGGAATTTTGTGATGTACCCCTCCTAACAACCATTTTAGTGCTATTCATTAATGACTATATATTGAAGATAAAGTCAGTGCTTAATCACTGTTACATATAAAGGACCTGGTCAATTCTTCAAAGTAAAATGAGCTTTTGGCACTTTTTCCAAAGACTCACACACAATCATAAATTTCAGCATTAAAGGCATCATATAGTATATAGTATATATAGTGTATTTATTTTTACATCTGATTGGCTTGGTTCATAAATATTTTGTGACAATGTACAAGAATGTATAATAACTAAATGTCAAAATCAGAAAGAAAGACACATCAATCTATTAGCTTCAAAAATGAAAAAATGGTAGAGTGAGGAGGCAGAAAATTTAAGGCACCTGCCCAAAGTTACATAACTGGTGAGTGTCAGAGCTGAGACCAGGACTCGAGTGATCTGGCTTCCAAGCCAGTGCTGTTTCTGTTGGATTGCATGTGTTACTCTAGAAGGGTCCACCTCAATGCCCATCTTGATGGAATCAAGAGTAGTGACTAAAAGCACAGACTCCAGTGTCAAAAAGACTTGGATTTCAGAGCCAATTTTAACAGTTACTAACTACGAGACCCTAAGCAACCTTCTTCATCTCTATAAGTCTTAGTGTCTTAATCTGTAATATAGGGAGAAGTATTACCTAGCTCATAGAGTTGTAATAAGGATAAAAGGACTTGATGCTTAATGCAAGACATGGAGCATAGTAATAGTAATAACTGCACACAAAAATTGTTAGCTTTTATTATTATGCAGACATAATTGGATGCTTTTTGAATCAAACGAAGGAGATGGAGAGGTTCTAGAGATCCTCTACAGAAAAACCTATTGAATAACTGTAATAAATGTATAGATGGGGTGAAAATGGGAGGAGGAGTGTGGGATGATCCTCTAGAGAATAAAATGCATATTATTTAGCAAGTGGAATGCAGAATCGTTTCCCCTTCCCAACTCCAATCCACCGCCAAGGAGGACCAGGATAAATAAAAAGGCATGGAGGGATAGAAGTGTAGATATAGGATGATAGCTTGCAAATGTGCAAAAATTGGGGATAAAAATGGTGTTTATAATTTGTTACCAAGGTATGTCATTTGCAATACCATTGCTGTCTTCTCATTTTTTAGTAGTGTGAGATATATAAACATAATTGCTTTTTTTAATTAAAAAAAAGTATAATTTCCCTAGGATGAATTTTTTATAATGCTATATTTAAGTGGCTATGATTCCAGGTAGTAATTTGAATAATCAGAATCAATTACTACTTAAAATATTATCAAACCAAAGGAACTTTAACTTCACCCAGAAACAATCTATACTCTATGTTTTGTGTTATTCTAGATATTCTAAATGAATGATTAATGAGTGAGGTCAGCATTTACAGGTATGGTAGGATGTCTACAATTTATTGCTAAAAGAAAAAGTTTGGAGCAATGCTGGTAATATAACACCTATGTGGTTCAATATCATATTAATTTTGTATATATGTATCAAGGAAGGTCTGGAAGATTGCCCATCAAATTGTCAGAAATGGTGAGAGGAGAACAGAAAGACTTCCAAGTTACTTCCTTTGCTCTTCTACTATGTGAACAATTTGTACAATGAGCATGTATTAGTTTTATAACTTAAAAATGTATTTTAAAGAAATAAAATAGTACTGCTTAGTTGGGTGTAACATAGATGTCCTTATTCATGGTATGTCTCTTTGGGAAGTGCTCTCTCAGATAAAGATATCCAGCAGGCTTTGTCTAGATGGCTTCCAGTAGAATTAAAATTCTGAGGCAGAGGTGAAAAACTCTGATATGAGTGTAAACAGAAAAGGAAGGGTGGAGATTCTAACCTATTAACTCAACTAACTTAATTTTGTCAAGTTATTGGAAAAGAAGTTTTGGTATGCTGCTCCCCTTACTAGATGTAGAGAAAGTTGTGCCAATTCAAGTTAAGTGATTTCTACTGTGTGGAATCAGTTTTGGGTATTGGAATGGTTTAAAATTCATGTCATATCACCAATACTATGTTTCTTCTTAAAATCATGATGAGACCAAAAAAAAGAAAGCCTTACAGTGTAGGTAAGCTGTCAACAGTATTGTTCTCCATTCGTACTGTTTCCTGCAGCAACTTTACAACGTTATGCACCCTAGAGGCCAAAAAAGTTGTAAGAGTAATAAGAGTTAACTTTATTGATACTCTGATTTAAGCATCCTCACAACTCTATGAGGTATATAATAGTATAATCTATAGTTTATCAATGAGGAAGACAAGGTAAAGATTATAAATAAATTCCCATGCTTATAAAGGGTAGAGTCAGGATTTGATCTCATGCAGTCTGAATAGAGAACTGTGTTCTTTCCACTAAGCAAGACTGTCTTAAATATTGGAGGCACTAACCCCACAGCAGCACTCTTCGTATCCTGTTAGTTGAAGGGTCAGTCCTGTGCAAGCCGATATTCAAATTTAATAATTGCATTTTATTCATCTATCTGTTTTCACTATTTTTCTCCATATGGTGTTTTTCCATAACCAAAAGTTAAAAAAAAAACTTATCTAAATGAGAGATGCTCTCTACAACATTATTTCATGGGGTCGCAATAACCTTGCAAAGTACTTACTGCTGTATCTCGATGCTTAATCTGTGACTCGCCTGTAGAGTGAATTAGAGGTCACAACACTAGGCTTCTAGTCCCAACACTGAATCTAAATATGTGACCTTGACCATTCTCTGGCTTTACTTTCTTGATGTATTAAATGAGAAATTTCGACTAGAGAATCTCTGAGGTCATTTCCATCTCTATAATTAGATATTATACGCTTCTAAGTGATGAGAGACTAAAGACATTTTGCACTGATCTTTGCGTGTAATCAGCTGACACCACAATTTAGGGTGTCAGACTATCCTTATGGTGTTGCTGATTTGATTATGGTTAGAGGCTGATATGTCTCTAGTGGACATAGTTACAATTGACATTGATGAGTATAAAGCAGTTCACTGGGCTTATTAAATACAGCCACAGAATTTGAATGTTCTGGGTTCCCTTCAGTGTCACATAAACTATAAATCATCCTAATTTTGAAATATGACCTTCTCCAGCATGAGTAAAGGCCTCTGGGTTTCAAAGGCTTCTTTGGTTCCATAAAGAGTCCCTGAATATGATTTCAGCTTCTGTGTCACATTCTGAAAGCCCAGCTCTAAATAAATCTTATTGGGTGTTTGGTTTAAAGGTGAACTCAAGCAAATCTGTTATTGAAAATCTGGTTCCTGGTGCCCAGTACCAGGTTGTGATGTACCTAAGAAAAGGCCCTTTGATTGGACCACCTTCAGATCCTGTGACATTTGCTATTGGTAAGTTTCCAGCCACATGAATAATAACTTTATCAGAGTACTGTTTGGAGGGGTGGAACGTACAAGCTCGAGTCATTATCACCATATATGGGAGGCCCATACTTGTTCACCCAGTATTCTACGTTCAGAGTAATAAATGACTACAATTGTATTACTGGAGGACATCCTTAGCATTTACTACTTGGGAAAAAAAATCAGAAGCAAATGTGTTTAATTTTCAATGATTGTATCGGAAGAATGAAACGCCTAGTTTTTAAGTAGAAGTTTGAAGCCATTGTTAGGTTATTAAACATTCCTTCTTGGCTTTCTTTTTTCACTCTCCCCCGCTTCTTCTTAGTTCCCACAGGAATAAAGGATTTAATGCTCTATCCTCTGGGTCCTACGGCAGTGGTTCTGAGCTGGACCAGACCTTATTTAGGAGTGTTCAGAAAATATGTGGTTGAAATGTTTTATTTCAATCCTACAACAATGACATCAGAGTGGACAACCTACTATGAAATAGCAGCAACTGTCTCCTTAACTGCATCAGTGGTAACCTTTCCTTAACCAACTGTCATATTTTCCTATGTAAACAGCTGTGTCTTTATGTGCCGAATGTGTCAGAAATTAGATCGTTTTGTAAATACACACAGGTAGCTTACTACTTTCAAAGTTTTTTGATTGTTTTCGCTTTTAGGAACATTTTTTAGTTTTGTTTTCCTTTTTTGAGAAAGAGAGAGAAAAGTGTGCAGAATTAGCTTTCACCTCTAATTGAGTTTATTTGTTAATACGCATTTTAGTAGCGCTGTCAAATGCTTATTGTTTCTGTCTGTTCCTGAGGAGGAAAACATGAGAGATTTCCTTTAGTCATTCAATAATCGGTTGACGCTGCTTAACTCTAATGATGACTATTCTTGACATCTAAAAATCAGTTAAATACCTATAATCTTAGGCCATTAGAGGATGCTTTTCAGGAGAGTAGGTAAAGATTGCTCTTTCTGAGACTGTAATAATTTTAAAAGTGCAATTACCTACAGGTCCCACATGAAGTACACAATTGCCCTCTACCCAGTTGACAACTCTGGTAATTGCCACCCAACAAGGATGACGCTTTTAGTCAAAGCTGGGAGAATACAAAGCTGTGAGAGGTCATTTGTCTTAGAAATAGGAGGATGTATATATCCAGTCATTTACAAATAAGTACTATTTTACTTCTCTAATATAATTTAGAAAACTGCAAAATGAAACCAATATTGGAAATATTTGACTCTATACCTTTGAATTACCTTTTAAAATTATATTTTTGTATGTCATTTTATTTACACCATACCTCATTCCAGAAAGAATTTTTTTAACGGAAAGTTTGAGAAATACAAAAAGACACAGAGAGGAAAATAAAAATTACTTATTAATTTTTTTCATGACCTAATACAAGTAACGCTACTCCAAAAATAGGATTTTCCCCCTTAGTCTTCTGTCTCCTTGGTTTTTTTTAGAGAATAGCCAATCTTTTGCCAGCATGGTACTACAACTTTCGCGTTACCATGGTGACGTGGGGAGACCCAGAACTGAGCTGTTGTGACACTTCTACCATAAGCTTCGTAACAGGTGAGTGGTGTGCGGGAGATGATTCCATGAGGAAAGAACACTATTTTTAGGAGGTTCTGAAGGGACACAGCTCCAGAAAGAGCTAGTCATTCACCCAGGACTGGCCGAGCATCAATTTCATGGAAGACACTACCCTTGATTCTAAAAATTAGTGATTTGTTTAAATGACAGCCTTTAAAAATTAAAATATCATTTTTATTCTGAGTTATTGTCACTAATTTATTTTTAGTCTGATTCACTGCCCTTGATTTATGTGACCCTGTTGGGAGCTGATTAGAATACAGATGTAGCAGGCAGGGCTTTCAACTTTGCACTGCACTCAATTGATTTTACCCATTTGATAATTATATTTGCTAGAGTGCCTCCATTTCCTTATTAATTAAGCCTTTTAAAGTCACAGGCTGACTACAGTGCGGTCCATGGCAAGAGGTAAAAAAGGCTTTGGAGACAGGGAGTCCTGGGTCTGAATCATGGTTCTGTCACATACCATGTGTAACATTGAACTAGTTAAGTTTCCTAAGCCTCAGTTTTTCTCATGTGTACAATGGGGATGATAATAATATCTATTATCTATTATTGTTATTATCTACTATTACTACCCAATTAAATAAGCTACTCAACAAAATATATTGTACAACGTTTAAGTACTTAAAAAACTGTTAGTGTTACATCCTCAGAGCCTTAAATTACATAGCTCATCATCATATAGCAGAGACAGCAGAGGTGGTCAGAGGTAGCAATGAAAACAGAAAATTCATCAGAGAAACGCTAACCCTTGTTGTTTGAACTAAGATTTTTCAAGAACTTTTAGTTGGACTCCAAGGCTGGAATTAGAGTTGTACTGAGAGAAGAAAGGAGAAAAGTGTTGTGTAGATGAAGAATAATTTTTGAAAGGTGTTTTCCTCCCCACACATCTAGCTTTCCTCAGAAATTTATCAATTATAAAACAATGGAAAGAAATTAATCATATATGAATTCTTACACAATCAACTCACATAGTTTGTAACTTTTGTTTACTCCCTAATGTCTACAGCTCCCTTTGTTCCAGATATTAATAGCAATATTAGAATAGAAAAGTGAAAAACAATAGAAAAACAAGAAAATACCAATTATTTCACAAGCCTCTCTGAGAATACTCTTTCCTTCTCAGACAGAGCAGATGTCTGGAAAAAGCTGACTTAGCATCTGAACACTTGATGGAGCAGACATGGCTCTGCTAATTTCTGGCTGTATAACTTTGAGCAAATTATCTTAGTAACCCCGGACTTTTATTTTCTCATTGGTAAAACTCAAAATATTACCGGACAACCAGCTAAAAGAGCAAAACTAAGTGTATTAGAAGTCACTGCAGTAAGGCAGAACCCCACCTTCACAGAGTCTTTGAGGTCTCAGAAGGGGAACATCAGAAATGAAACATTAACAGGATTTGGAGCTCTGGACTCAAGGGGGTTAGACATGCCTTTCAAAGCTGGGGACTGACTGGGATTGAGCAAAGACCCTGAGAAGACAGTTTAGGTGGACAGAGCAAGTCTGGATACATAAACTGTGGTTAGCACACAAGCTGTTTGCCTGGGTGAGCAGTCTATTCTCTCCAATAAATTGATCTCTGGGAATTTCTTATCTTGTCCTGGGGCAAACTACTAAATCATGCCGACACTAGTGGTCCACAGTCTTATCTAGGCATACTGATGCAGATGGTCTCAATTCTCACATCTATAAAATGGGCATAATAATATCTCACAGGATAGTGTGAGAATTAAATTATATAGTGTAAATCACTATTAACATATATATGGTAGTTGAGTTGTATTTTTATACTTATTTTTAAAACTAGTTGAAATCAGCGTTTTTTGGTCTTTCTTCCCTCATTTCAATTTTAAAGCAAATATCGATCTTACGCTTCACTTTCCTAAGCTTTCAGTTGTAATCCAAATTGGCAAATTGAGTGGTATAAAAAGAAATAGGAGCAAAATATTTGAATAGGGTGGGATTTACTAGGGCCTCAAGTCTGGTATCTTTGTTAGGCAACTTACCTTGTCTGCAAGTTCATAATGATGCTAGTGTACCGAATAATGTTTAATAAACAAACAGTGACATCTTGTGGCCTTTCAACTCTATGCTGGATTTTGAAGCATCAACATGGAGTATAAAAACCTGAAGACCTTGTACCTGTGAGGGGAAGATATATACTTCTGAGTTTGCAATTTTAAATGTTTCTTGTCCTCACTAGAATTAGAACATGAGAAAATATCCTTTGAAGAAATATAATTATAGGTACTTGCAGATTATGAAATGTGTAGAAGTATGTTAAGAGGCCATAAAGAAGCCAGGGTTATTATCCTTTATTAGAATATTCTGCAATGCGATGTGGGTTTGTTACTTGCTAGATACATTGTTGATATTTCCAGACTTTATTGTCAAATATGTAGAGATGATGCTCCTATTTCACATGAAACAGAAATGTGTTTTTCACTCTGTATATTACTAATCTCTTCAGTGGATAATTGTTTTTGAAAGCATAGTTAATTATGAATGTTTGTTATGAATATTAGTAGCATATTAAAGAAAATAATTCTTTATGATTTGTAGAACTTCTTCTCCAAATATTTTAGGTGGTTTTGTGATGTATCTTGGACTGGGACACTTGCCTGTCTTCAAACCAACATGCACTTGGAATTTAAATTCACCTGTGTATTTATTTCTTAAAATCTTCAGAATTATCGGTTACAGTCATGCACCACATAACGACGTTTCAGTCCATCACAGATCACATATACAACAGTGGCCCCATAAGATTAGTACCATATAGTCTAGGTGTATAGTAAACTATATCATCTAGGTTTGTGTAAGCACACTCTACGATGTTCACATAATGAAATCACCTAAGGATGCATTTCTGAGAACATACTTCCATAGTTAAGGGATGCATGCCTGCACTTTAAAAAATAATTAAACTATGCTTTCAGAGCTCATATATTATAAATGAGTGATGAACTCTCCTCTCCAATTGGAAAAATTTTTTTAATTTAAATGTGTAAGAATATAAATTAATGAACTCAGTGTTAGAAAGAATTTAACTATGTAGCACGATAAAAAATCCCTTCCTCCACTCCCTTAATACTTGCTTCAGCAACATTTTATTGAGAGCCTACCTTCTGCAAAGCATTGGGCTAGATACTGTCAGTGCTATTGCCTTGTTATTTTATGGAAATAATATTTATTTTTTGTCCCTTTACTCATTGATCCTACTGTCCTTTATTCCCATAAACATCTTTGCTGCACCACGATGAAAAAGATATACTTTTACAGGACCCCAGAGTTTTCAGTACTGCTGGAAAATATGTTCACCGATGCCTAATAGTATTAATGTATTGATGCAACAAGCATACCCAAACAGGTAACATTTTAGGAATCTTGTAACTGTGAAAATTGTATAAAAGACCCTGATAGCCTCAGGTACAGATGGGTCTGGCCACCTTGTGTCTGAGCCATACAAGGTGGGGTCCCATAAAACAAGCGCCCAGCTTGTACCACCAACCTTCACTATGTTACTGAGGGGTCCAGGAGTCCCCAGGACCATCATGAGGTGTGAATTTTAATTCTCCAAATTAACTCTATGTGGGATTTCATGCTCTATTGGATAAATTCTTTAATTATTATTAGTCTCTTATACCACAATGTGCCTCTTTCCTCCCTGTAGCCCCAGTTGCTCCAGAAATCACTTCTGTGGAATATTTCAACAGTCTGTTATATATCAGTTGGACATATGGGGATGACACAACTGACCTCTCCCATTCTAGAATGCTACACTGGATGGTTGTTGCAGAAGGAAAGAAGAAAATTAAAAAGAGTGTATGTTTCTTTGAATCCCAATATTGAATGTCTAAACATTTATTTACATAAACTATTGAAAACCATTAAGCAAACATTTATTGAGACATTAAACAAATGTTTATATCCCAGTTGGCACTGTTTTAGGCTCTGGAGATAGGACAGTGAACGAAAATTAAATTCCTCCTTTCACAGAGCTATCTTCTAATCTTTAATAGTGAACTGTGACAGTTTTGACTGTTGATTTCATTTATATTTAAAGTTATGATCTGAGCTATTTCTTCAGGATGTCAAACATTTTCAAGAAAAGCACAGTCTATATATTTTAGTATTTTCTCCATATATCCCCAACACCTACATATTTGGGTACATTGGGAATACTGATTTTCTTTCTCCTCGTTTATTAAGCTTTTTGACACTGTATTAGTTAGGGTGCAGACTAAACTACTGTAACAAACAAACTAAAAAAGGTAGTGCTTCAAAGAAAAGTTTATGTCTCTCTCATGACAGCCCAGGATGAACAGGGCACCTCTGGTGTAAGGGATTATCCAGAGGTCCAGATGCTTTCTATCTTGTTGCTCCATCTGCCAGTGTGTGTAGGCTTCATCTGCATGGGTGAACCTGCACATTATTACATCCATATTCAAGCCTGCAGGAAGGGGAAAAGAGGATGAGGAAACCCAGCATTTCTGGGGTGTGAACTGAACTGTGAATTGCCCATGTGACTTCCACTTACAATCCATTGGCCAGAACTGTGTCACATGGTTCCCTCTGGCTATGGGGGAGACTGGGAAATACAGTCTTTAGTTAAGAAGGCAAGTGTCTATAGAAATGGCTAGGTTTCTTCTGAGTTTCTCAGCTAGGGCTTAGCAATGTACATATCAGTAGCAACCCAGCAATTGCCTTGTCTAAAGTTTGCTGTGAATATGAGGAAAAATATCAGAGTAATACCTATTCCAAATAAGAGGATTAATTGCCAAAATGTTCCGATACGTATTATGCATGTTTAGAGCTACCTTGCATTGTCAGTTGAGGAATTTATATCATTTTCAGAGGAAATAATGTATCTGTAAGGTTGTAATCAACTGTAGATTGCAGCACAGAACAGAGAGGGAATGTCTGCTGTAGTTTGGAGTGGTATTTAAGTTCAAGATCATTAGACATCTAAACATTTGATTTTGATGATCTTGCAGGTAACACGCAATGTCATGACTGCAATACTCAGCCTGCCTCCAGGAGATATCTACAATCTCTCAGTAACTGCTTGCACTGAAAGAGGGAGTAATACTTCCATGCTCCGCCTTGTCAAGCTTGGTAAGAAGAGTGTCCTGGGGGATGGGGGTGAAAATAATGATGTTGAGAGAACTAGTGTTTACATCTCTTGACTTATGGTGTTCTCAACTGAATGAAATAACAGGAAAACAGCTTACTCTCTTTTATGAGAGACATTTATACTACTAAAAGCGTATGTCCAACTTAGTGTCACTAAGTTTCTGTGAATGGAATGTTTACTGTGCTGGGAGACAGGAGTGTTCACCATTCTTAGTAAAGTCTGAGGAACCAAGGAGTCTTAGGATTTTAGAGATGGAAGGACCTTTAGAAATTATCTAGTACAGTGTTCTTACCCTATTAGACATCATTCCCTTTCATATACGTATTATGTCATGCCTTCTTTAATATCTTAAATTGAAATTCATAGATAAAATAACTCACATATTGACTTTCTAAGTTGATAGAATGTCCTAACTCTAATATAAAATCAAGATAAAAGAAAAATAATTTATAAGAAAATAATACAGATTCTCCATACACATTTTTAGATACAGCTCTTCCAGAAGTCATAATGAAATTGTCTGATAACTACATATAATTAAAATTAATGTTTGAGTTTACAAGAAATAAAAGGATCAATAGTTCTTCTGTGCAAGAAATATAAAAATAAATGAAAGAACGAACAAATTCATACAAATTAATTATAAATAACTAAGCAAGCATAAATACAGGTGACTCCTAGAATAAAACCAGGATATAGGATAAGTAATAAGAGAGTAAACGTATTTGCATATGATGAGAGAAAGAGGGAAATAACCTTAATTAAAGTAGAGATGACATGCCAAGAATAATAATAGGCTGTGGATGAGGGAAAATGAGGCAAGTTTGATATTCTTGCAAAGGAGCTAGAACTTACTGTGTAGTGTTGTCAAAATAATTCTTTATATTATGAAATACAACTGGGAAGTGACACTATGTAACACAAAACACACCTTCTACCTTCTACATTCAGCAGTCTACCATGTATTTAGATATACATTTAGTTTCTGGTACTTAAATGGACCTCAGAGGTCATATCCTATAATGCGCAGCAGGCAAAACAGGAGGGATTGGCAAAAAGTTGTGTGGTAGACTCTTGGGGCAGATCAGTGAGAGAACAGCAACCCGAAAATAAATGCATTTCAGTATGCAATTTTCACAGCAGAGATCTCATCATTTTTATATTTTGAAAATTAAGAATATATAGAATGGCAATAAAAATATTTCCCAAACACTTAATGCGACTTGCTGACATCACTGTTTCAGATGTCTGCTAATTGATACTCGGTGTCTGAGTGTGTGCATAAGAGATTCACATCGTCTCTGTTATTACAGATGTTCACGGGTGCAGCTGTAAGTAAAGACTGATCCAGGGTATTTTATATGCAGCTTAAATACTAGGAGAAGCATTGTTGTCAATGGCGACCTTTAGAAAATTCTTAGAAACTCCCAAACAAAACAAAACACAATCTTTCATTAGTTTACCCACTAGTTGCGTTTCTCTATAATTCAATTCATAAAGCATTGTCTTAAATCTTTTTTGTCTCTTATTTGTCATAGCAAAAACTAAATTCTTGCACTGAAATCCTTTAAAATTTAGTAAGTAGTTGGAAATATATGATGTACTGGATAGAAACTATGGACAGAAAAACTAAATTACTGGGTAATTTTTAAATAACATCTTAATTCCATTTAAGTATCTTTCTTCATGACAACTTTCTTCTAAATCAATTTACTTAACTTCTTGAAAATATTTTGAGTAGTATTACATGGTAAAGTACTCGTCATTATATTTATGATGAATTTATTCTGGTGCAACATTAGAAAGTCATGTGGGATGTGAATATCAGATGATTTCTCTCTTTGGAACTTTCTTCATTGCAAGACATCTAGCATCTCTGAGCCCCAGCCTCAGTAGTCCAGTGAACTCCTCCCATTATGACTACTAAAAAAATTTCCAAAAACCCTCAAGGGGGCGGTACTGCTCCTATTTAGAATCACAAGCCCCATTTAATCTTTCATGCACTGCAGGCACTCAGCTCTTCCCTAACAGCCTATACTTGAATTCTAGGAAGGTGGAGGTCATCAGCTTCCCACATTACATGATCTTTCTGTTAAGAAAAAAATAGCCTGCCCATCAATTTCTACCATTATCTCTAATTTTGTCCTCTGTATAAACAGTAGTTCAAAACTCATTTCCAGGTAACTTATGCCTTTCTTTCCCCAAGTTTTATCATTATAGGTAGCTATAAGTGTTTCTCAGGTCTTAGCTGCTTTCTCCAACTCATTTGGTTTGTTAGTCTCCCTTAAAGGGCAAGTTCAGAGGTGGTCTCACCAAAGTAGCCTTCAGTGGGCCTATTGTGTGCTTCACTGTCATTTTTATGTGACATTATGGATGATCTGTGAAACCTCAGGAGTATGGGTTAAAATCATGAACAATATAGTTATACTCATACTACATAGGAGTGTGAGTAAAAACCATGACAGTGTTCCAAACTTATCATGAGGTTTTGAATCTCTATGCCTCCCTGATAATAGACAGAACTACCTAAACTAGTTTAGAAAGTTCCTTTAAACTTTTCAAGAAGGGAAGTCAAGTTCCCATAGAAATTATTTCTAATGAATCGTAATCCTTAGAATCAGTAGGCTTTTCCTTGTTGGTATCTTAATGTTAGACAGAATATTGCCTCTATCTTGTTCCTCTCTAAAAACAACATAATATATATCTAATGTGCCTATCCTCAGCCTTTTTTTCCCCCCTGAAAATTAAATAATCTTACTTTCTATTCATTTGTCTAAGGGTCTATTTTCTGTCCTACTAATCACATCTTTGTGTTTTATAAGCTCTTTCAATTTTCTATAACACATAATGCCCTACCTACTGTAGATGCCCAATAGACACTTGAATTGAATTGAAACTACAGACTTCAAAGTTGAAAATAATATTACAGTTAATATTTAACCAAAACAAATTTCAGAGAAGTGAAAACATTTTGCTTTAGTAATAACTGAATTGCCATTATTTTTTCTTTCACAAAACTTATATTCTAGTTATTTTATGTTTCTTTACAACATTCATTTGGTATACATAGAAGTCAAATTAATTCTACTTTACAGAAAAACACAACGTTGGCACAAGATTTTCAGGACTTTTTGAATCAGAATGTCATTGTTAACCTAGGACCAAAACTGGTCAGACTAGCCCCAAGTTCAGTTTCTCTGTGATAGAAGCCATTTTGGAATGGCTGTACTTGCTGTCATGGAGGGGAGGAATTGCATCTGTGGAAGAAAACAGACTATCAATGAATCCAGTATAATATAAATTAATCCAAGATTGCATGTGCAAGGGTAGAGAGTCCTCAAAACAGTTGCCAAGAATTTTCAATTATTATGTCATCAATAAATATCTGTAAGCAGACATGTACCAATAGCGGTGCTGTTTGCAGGGCTTTGAGCCAATCATCCCATTAAGAATTTTAGGTTGCCAGAAGTTTCATGGTACTATGGTGATAAGTGATGACAGCTCCCTTTGGCAGTCAATACTAATGTCAGTCAAATTTGCACTAAGACTTGTCATTTTGCAAGAACTCATTGGTCTGCATGCACCTGTGGCTTCAACCAGCAACCAGGCATAACTTCTAGTCTTGGTGAATCTACCTGGACTCTGGGCAAATTTTAGAAGAATTTGATGTTTACATCAGAGAAACAGTTTTCCAATCTTAAAAAAAAAAGAGAGAGAGAGAAAGAAAGGAAAAAGGAATAAGAAGTGTTGGACATATCACAAAATAGTTCTATGGTCATAGAATATCCATTTCTTTATTCATTTAACAAATATATACTGAGAGCATCCTAAGCACTGCTCAGATGCCAGTCTACTTGTAGTAATGAACCCAAGGGCTGTGTTCACTTTCCGGTCACAAGGAGCTTTTGATCTAGTGAAGGCGGAGATGGTAAAAAGTGCTTTACTTTTAAAAAGAGCACTAGAACTCCGTAGAGACTGGAGTGACCATGTAGTGAAAGTTTTCTCTGAGAAAGCAATGAGGAGAGATCTGCATAACAAGAAAGAATCAGCCATGAAAAGGTTGGGAAAGAGCATGCTAGGCAGAGGGAATAGGCAGAGGACAGATTAGATAGGACTTGTAAGGCATGGAGTTGAAGTTTTGTTTTGAGTGCAATTAGAAGCCATTTAGAGAATTTAAAATAAATACTCTGACATATTTAAAATAATCCCTCTGGTTGCTCAAGGGAGAAAGGAATGTTGGATCAACAATGAAGGTAAGGAGACCAATTAAGAGACTATTTGTCCTTAGCCTTAAAAATAGCATTGTAATTCAAATAAGTGCCATGGGAAATGATGGTAACTTCACTAAAGTGGTAGTAAGGGAGATGGAGAAAAGTGGACAGAATTCAGAAGCTATTTTGGAGGTTGTGTCCACAGGACTTTCTGATGGGGTGAAAATAGGAAAAGAGAGAAAGGAAAACTAAGAATGACCCCCAGGGTTTGCTCTTGAGCAACTAGGGTGGATGGTGATGCAATTCACTGAGACTGAAAAGACTGGAAAAACTGGAGGAAGAGTAAATTTGGGGTAAGGTGAGAATCAAAGATTCTTTCTTGGACGTTAAAGAATTGAGAGGACATCCAGGTGCAGTCGTCAAGTAAAGAGATTATTGATATATATGTCTGGAGATCAGGGGAGAATTCCAGGCTGGAAATATAAATTTGAGGGTGTCTGGATAAGATCACCAAGTGATCTTCAAGGAGAAATAGAGAAGAAAAGAGAAGAGAAGCTGTTGGTCTAGCCTGGAAGAACCACTCCAGCATTTAGAGATTGAGCAGAGGAGGAGGAGCCAGCAAGAGGGACTGGAAAGGAATAACCAATGAGGTCAGAGAAAGCCGCCATACAGGATGTGTACACCACCATTTTCAAACTTCTGCTTTATCTTTAACCCATAAATGGGTTCGGGCAGGTTCAAGAAAAGGAATCAGTTTACTTTAGTGCTGG